AGTTTACAAATGTGATTGTAAACTTGTCCATTTCTGGACTATATATTAAGCACATGGATTGGTTTCTTTGCAGTCAGGAGAGAGTTGTAAGATAGACGAATCACTGAAGTTCTGATTTATTTGAATAAGAAGTAGATACAGAGAACAATCTTTGCCTATATATGTATTAATACTAAACATATATGTATAGATAAAGAATAAAAATATATAAATCCAATATATCTACTACTTTACTAATGTAAATAATCATTTCAATTTTTAAAATTTGCCGTATCTATAACACCAATCAATGAAGGGGTTAGTACTTGCCTAAATTATGGTAGTACGATTAGACAGGTCAGCGTCCTATAAAAAAATCTGTTTTTAACATTTTCTATTGCCTTTGGACATTTATGATTGGAACTAGTTGCTAATTTACATTTCCTCATGGAGCACAATAAATATGAGAGATCTTTACAATAGCCTCTATAGGTTTAAATTATTTTTTTAAATATACATGCCAAAGGTTAATTATTTTTCAGAGAAACTGATGTTATCCTTGGGAGTAATTTTGAGTTATTTATTATCTTTCTTGAAGTTAATTATATTAATTGTTGATACTGGATTAACAATGTGAAATGGAAGAATGCTAATTAATTGAATAAGCATTTTTTTACATTTTCTTCTGTTTCAGTTGATTTATCTTTAGTGAATAAAAATGAAAATGCCATCTATTTCTTGGGAAATTCTCTTGGCCTTCAACCAAAAATGGTTAAACAATATATCGAAGAAGAACTAGATAAGTGGGCCAAAATGTAAGTATTGTTTTAAAAGCTACTATTCTACATCTCATACAAGAGTTGTAAAAAACACACTAGGTGGTCTAATACTTGAAAAGATATATAATAGAATCCTAGTACTTTGGGGCAGACAGAAACCCTAGGGATCGTGCTGTTCAATACTCTGATTTTACTGATGAAATAACTAAAATTCAGAATATGGTCACGTGACAAGTTAGTGGCAGACACAAGAGTAAAACTTGTTTAAGTCACTCACCTGTGTTGACACATCTAAATCATATGTAGTGATTTGCTCTGATTTTACTGATAAAATAACTAAAATTCAGAATATGGTCACATGACAAGTTAGTGGCAGACACACAGAGTAAAACTTGTTTAAGTCACTCACCTGTGTTGACACATCTAAATCATATGTAGTGATTTTATTTCTTTAATGACCAACAAAGGAGTTAATATTTAGAATTTTAGTTTTTTCATGATTAGTTCTTGACTAACTATCAATACTTACTTTTGTAAATAAGGAAATAAAACTTGTTGAGGAGGCCAGAGATTGGATGAAGTTGGAGGCACTTTTCTTCCCAAACCAACTAGGATTTATTGAGACAAAAGATGCTCCATTTGAGCTTATCTAAGCAGGTTTGCTCCAACCATGAGGGAGTCTTAAATCAGGACACTTTTCCCCCATCTCTTCTGCTGTACTTTTGTTCTTCTGACTATGAAACCCTTCACACTCTCTCCTTACTTGAATTCTTACCCTCTGTAAACCCAACCTTCTCACCCACATTGATTATCCCTCCCCAAATGTCACTACTCTTGGGTAGGCAGTTTAGAGGTATCTATTCTCATTAGTTTCACATTCCTAGCTGTATTATAAACCCCTTCAGGAAAAAAACCTAGTCATGTCTTTTCTCTCCTTCCCCAGTAATTACTGTTAAAGTTGAAACTAGAAATATTTTTTAAATATTTAAACTTTAAAAATTGTATTTCTAAAATTCTAAACATTTAAATATCTTTAAATATTTAACATATTTAAAATAACTAAAAGTATTTTTAAAATATTTTTTGACTATTTGAAACTGAAAAATTGATATGAGGGTGAGTCAAGTTTTGTCTGTCAGGAAACAAAATATCAGAAATATGAAACCGAAGTAAGAATTCCGATGCAAGACATTTAGTGCTCATAGGATATTTTCTCTACCTTACTTCCTTTTCATGCTACTGATCTTTCATTTGGGAATAGTACCTTTTCTTTAAAGATAAGTTTACATTGACCGTGCTAATGATTACTACCATAACTATTAGATAATGCTGAAAAGTTCTTAATTTTAGTGGTTAAGAATATAAATTCACAACTTAATGCAAGAATGACAAAAGTTTATATAATTTATTAAGCCTGTTATAACTTTATCTGCATAACTTTTATGCATAAATTGCAAAATACATATCATCACATTTGGGAGCATTTTGCACTAGCAGGTTTTAGTATTTAATAAATGAGGGTCATAGTTAATAAAAATGGTTAATATTCATTTTTGGCCATAATGTAAAAGAGAGCAGAGAATTAGATTGAATGAATTTGAACTTTAGAGTGTCCTTGCCTCTTGGATATTCATTCAGCAAGGCTGTGCATTTTTATCCTCTAGGCATTTAAAAAGGATGCTACACTGCTGTTCTATTCATGTCTTTATGGTTAATCCTACTTTAGTAAAGGGCTGGTTCATTATTTTCAAGACTTTAAAATTGCATTTCAGGAAAGTGCCTCTGTCATAACACTTGTCCTTCTATTGTTTTGTCTTTTACTTTTATATTTTCCCTTGTGATGATAGAAAATTTCATAACCTTAATTAAACCTTTTTATCTAATTTTCGTTAGATGATTCATAAAGGGGGTACATTTTAATGCTTTAGGTAATGTAAATTGAATTAAAGAAGACTTCTGAGCAAAAGATACCCATGCTATCATTGCTTTTTGCTTTCTTTGTTTTATTTAGTCTTCTTGCTTTAAGCTGTGGTGACCTAGTCAATGTCATGGCCCTGCCTGCCCACAAATGTCAGTGGTGTTTGAAGTGCACAATTATATTCCTGTTTCTTTCTACCTTACTCCCTACCTTTAATACCAAAAGTGTTTTCTCATTATTATTATTATTATTATTATTATTTTGCTCCTAAATATTTAGCTTAAAATCTCACTTCTGGCTTTTCCGGCTAAGCTTCTATTGCGAAGAAAACTTTTCTTTTCCAACTTAGAACTTAGGTCCAAGTGATCAGGGGTCTGTCAGTTAATTGACAACAGACAGAATAACAGGAGAAAAGTTTATTTTACACACAGGTGGCAGCACTCTTTAAGGAGTGGCTTGCTGAACAATTAATACCGGCTTAACCAAAGGGGGTAGTTTTAGGGCTTCATTAGGAAAATTTGGAAGGTTCTATTGGGTGTATTTAATCCTAATGCTAATAAACAGTATCCTTCCTGGCTGGAAGCTCCCCAGGAGGGAGATTAGTGGCAGCTGAATTTTTACTTCCTGGTACTGGTGCTAACGCTTATTCTTGCTCTAAGGGCAGGTCAATGACAGCTGTAGTTTTTGGAGGTTCTGCTTAAGTTTAGATAGTATTTCTTTCTGTGGCTGCTTTTTGTTCAGATATTTTCATTTTAAAGTAATCTTAATGCCACTTTGGTGGGCTGATGGTCCATTCAGTTTCTTTTCTGACTTTTGCTTTGGTTTCTGTACTAAATCATCCCTAAAGTGTTCAGCCTGCCTCTAGATCCAGGGCCTCCAATTATTGTGTTAAGTTTTACCTGATCACATTGTTCCCCTTCACCTCATTCAACCCCACTTCTGTCCTACTACTTGGCTGATACTCAAGTCAGGTTAGTGCCTCCCTCTCTTCTTGAACAAAGGAAGATTATGGGAAGGACTGAGTCAAAGTGAGCTACACATTTACTAAATAATGCACATTGAAATTTGTCACTTGGTTGGAAAGATAATATTAAAAATTTATCATCTTAACAGTAACATAAAAATTAGAGTGCTTTGACAAAGCGATATGTCACTCAGGGTATCAAGTCTCTGGCCATCCAAGGCCTGAACAGTAGGAAATGCCATTTGGTTCATGGCTGTCATCTTTTTCACAGTTGCAACCTATTGCTGACATACTGCCTACCATACTTATCTGCAGAATAAACCATTTCTGACCATAATGCAGCCTAATCTTGTAATTTATATGGCTAACATCTTTGGTTATTTATAGTAGCAGAAAGTCATACCTGAAAATGTATAATTTGTAAAGAAACAAACCTTATCCCTATAGTTTTGGAGGCTGGGAATTCCAAGGTTCAGGAGACACGTCTGGTGATTGCCTAATTAGTAGGAACTCTCTACAGAGTCCCTAAGTTACACAGGCTATCACATGGTGAAAGTGGCAGGAGTGTTTTTATGTGTTCACTTGCTCTCCTATATAGTTTTGGAGGCTGGGAATTCCAAGGTTCAGGAGACACGTCTGGTGATTGCCTAATTAGTAGGAACTCTCTACAGAGTCCCTAATTTACACAGGCTATCACATGGTGAAAGTGGCAGGAGTGTTTTTATGTGTTCACTTGCTCTCCTTATAAAGCCAACCAGTCTACTCTCTGATAACCCATTAAGACATTACCCATTAATTTATGAATGGATTAATCCATCCACAAGGGCATAGTCCTCATGATCCAATCACCTCTTATTAAGGCCCCACTTTTCAGATACCATAGTTGGATTTCTCACCTTCTTAACACTGTTACAATGGGGGTCAAGCTCCAACATGGGCTTGGGGGGACATTCAAACCACAGCACTGTCTTAGTTCATTTCTGCTGCTGCAACAAAATACCTGAGACTGGATAATTTACAAAGAACGGGAACTTATTTTCTCACAGTTCTGGATACTGGGAAGTCCAAGATCAAGGTGCTAGCAGATTTGGTGTCTGGTGAGGGCTACTCTCTTCTTCCAAGATGGAGCTTCTTGCTGTATCCTCACATGGTGGAAGGGGAGAACATCTTACTCCCACCTCTTTTATAAGGTGGTAATCCCATTCATGAGGGCTCTGCCCTCATGACCTAATCACCTCCTAAAGTCCACACCTCTTAATACTGTCACATTAGTGATTAAGTTTCAACATATGAATTTGGAGGGGACACATTTAGACTATAGCAAGATTCAAGTGATTTCTTCTAAAACTTGCTATTAAAGGCAAAACTGTGAAAATAGTTTCCTTAGGAGCAATTACCTCTGTATTTGTTTTGAAATGCTGATTATTCTTATTCTGCAATTTCATTTTCAACTTAATGGGATTTCTAAAGTAGATTAATAACACTTTACTTTGAAGGATATATTTGTATGTGAAATAACAATATTTAGATAATTTCAATATATTGAAATAGAAAACTTTTGGGGTGATCAGATCTATTTTGAAATATGATAATTGATTGTCAGCCCAAAAATGCTGTAACAATAAGAAGCAACAATATACTTGGACCCTGTGGGTCTGCTAGAATGGGTAGGCAATCAGCTTAAAGAATTTTGGAGGAATGTTTTATATTTTATATTAAAAATTTACTAATAGGGCCGGCCCGGTGGCGCACTGGAGGGTTCGGATCCCACATACAGACCGGTTCCCCCTCACTGGCTGAGTGAGGTGTGTGCGCAACACCGAGGGTTGCGATCCCGTTGCCAGTCCCAGTCCGGTACGGGCGCGACACTGAGGGTTGCGATCTGTTGCTGGACACGAAAAAAGACAAAAAAGGAAAAAAAAAAAATTTACTAATAGCCTAGATTATTTAAAGGAGAATAACATGGGTTAATAATCACAATGGTAAAGTTCAGCTGGAAGGGAAAGATATATCAGTCCTAAAGAACACATTATAAGTTGAGAAATGGATATTATGTTCCTAAGACAGAATCACAATATTTTAGGTCATCTGCATTATCAAATCTGCTAGATAAATGGTGTTTACACTTTTTCATAGGAGCAAAAGCATGCTACAGTTGCATCTTTATAGGGATTCTTCTAGGAAATATGACAGCTTAGGTAAGTTTCTTTCTTTCTTTATTTTATTTTGGCAGCTGGCCAGTACAGGGATTGAACCGTGGACCTTGGTGTTATCAGCACTGCGCTCTAACCAACTGAGCTAACCGGCCAGCACTAGGAAGGATTATTAAAAGAGGAAAATAGTCCACTGAATTACATATCAGGAACAAACCACCTGGTTTACAGACAATGACTCTCTTTACATAGTAGTGTGTATAGACAGGGCACTGATGCAGCATGCCAGAGAGGTGTGCTCTTAACAGTAACATAAAAATTAGAGTGCTTTGACAAAGCGATATGTCACTCAGGGTATCAAGTCTCTGGCCATCCAAGGCCTGAACAGTAGGAAATGCCATTTGGTTCATGGCTGTCATCTTTTTCACAGTTGCAACCTATTGCTGACATACTGCCTACCATACTTATCTGCAGAATAAACCATTTCTGACCATAATGCAGCCTAATCTTGTAATTTATATGGCTAACATCTTTGGTTATTTATAGTAGCAGAAAGTCATACCTGAAAATGTATAATTTGTAAAGAAACAAACCTTATCCATATAGTTTTGGAGGCTGGGAATTCCAAGGTTCAGGAGACACGTCTGGTGATTGCCTAATTAGTAGGAACTCTCTACAGAGTCCCTAATTTACACAGGCTATCACATGGTGAAAGTGGCAGGAGTGTTTTTATGTGTTCACTTGCTCTCCTTATAAAGCCAACCAGTCTACTCTCTGATAACCCATTAAGACATTACCCATTAATTTATGAATGGATTAATCCATCCACAAGGGCATAGTCCTCATGATCCAATCACCTCTTATTAAGGCCCCACTTTTCAGATACCATAGTTGGATTTCTCACCTTCTTAACACTGTTACAATGGGGGTCAAGCTCCAACATGGGCTGGGGGGACATTCAAACCACAGCACTGTCTTAGTTCATTTCTGCTGCTGCAACAAAATACCTGAGACTGGATAATTTACAAAGAACGGGAACTTATTTTCTCACAGTTCTGGATACTGGGAAGTCCAAGATCAAGGTGCTAGCAGATTTGGTGTCTGGTGAGGGCTACTCTCTTCTTCCAAGATGGAGCTTCTTGCTGTATCCTCACATGGTGGAAGGGGAGAACATCTTACTCCCACCTCTTTTATAAGGTGGTAATCCCATTCATGAGGGCTCTGCCCTCATGACCTAATCACCTCCTAAAGTCCACACCTCTTAATACTGTCACATTAGTGATTAAGTTTCAACATATGAATTTGGAGGGGACACATTTAGACTATAGCAAGATTCAAGTGATTTCTTCTAAAACTTGCTATTAAAGGCAAAACTGTGAAAATAGTTTCCTTAGGAGCAATTACCTCTGTATTTGTTTTGAAATGCTGATTATTCTTATTCTGCAATTTCATTTTCAACTTAATGGGATTTCTAAAGTAGATTAATAACACTTTACTTTGAAGGATATATTTGTATGTGAAATAACAATATTTAGATAATTTCAATATATTGAAATAGAAAACTTTTGGGGTGATCAGATCTATTTTGAAATATGATAATTGATTGTCAGCCCAAAAATGCTGTAACAATAAGAAGCAACAATATACTTGGACCCTGTGGGTCTGCTAGAATGGGTAGGCAATCAGCTTAAAGAATTTTGGAGGAATGTTTTATATTTTATATTAAAAATTTACTAATAGGGCCGGCCCGGTGGCGCACTGGAGGGTTCGGATCCCACATACAGACCGGTTCCCGCTCACTGGCTGAGTGAGGTGTGGGCACAACACCGAGGGTTGCGATCCCGTTGCCGGTCCCAGTCCGGTACGGGCGCGACACTGAGGGTTGCGATCTGTTGCTGGACACGAAAAAAGACAAAAAAGGAAAAAAAAAAAATTTACTAATAGCCTAGATTATTTAAAGGAGAATAACATGGGTTAATAATCACAATGGTAAAGTTCAGCTGGAAGGGAAAGATATATCAGTCCTAAAGAACACATTATAAGTTGAGAAATGGATATTATGTTCCTAAGACAGAATCACAATATTTTAGGTCATCTGCATTATCAAATCTGCTAGATAAATGGTGTTTACACTTTTTCATAGGAGCAAAAGCATGCTACAGTTGCATCTTTATAGGGATTCTTCTAGGAAATATGACAGCTTAGGTAAGTTTCTTTCTTTCTTTATTTTATTTTGGCAGCTGGCCAGTACAGGGATTGAACCGTGGACCTTGGTGTTATCAGCACTGCGCTCTAACCAACTGAGCTAACCGGCCAGCACTAGGAAGGATTATTAAAAGAGGAAAATAGTCCACTGAATTACATATCAGGAACAAACCACCTGGTTTACAGACAATGACTCTCTTTACATAGTAGTGTGTATAGAACATGATAAAGGTGTAAAACACCAATTGTGATTTGGCTCATTTCGATTTAAATACTTGGGGATCTATTTACACTTAGGTGTAGCGTTGTTGAAAATAATACAGCTGATGCTGTTTATGTGTTTCCTACAGTGATTTATATATGCTACCAGTGGTATTCAGATCATTTTAGATGGCAAATGTGTTAACATTTTGAGAAAAGTTATGTATTCAGTTAGGTTGAATATTCACCACTGCCTGAAATCTTATGTGAAATTTAGGGTACCGAGCAAAAAAAAATAATGAAATTTTAGCAATTGGAGTAGTGTTATTTGGAAATATTTGAAGGACTTAGGGAAACCCTGACTTTCAAAATGCTTTTTCAAACCTCATTCCCTTATAAGCAAGTATAAAAATATCATTGCTTTGTCCCATTTGGATCTTGGCTTGTAATCAGAAGACAAAATCAAGTTGGGCTGGAGGGGACACGGAAATTAGAGTGAAAAAAAATAGGATTTATATGCAGAAAGAATTATGGCAACTGTCAAATCATTAAAATTCAGAGAATATCTTGTTTATTAAAAGATAATTATTGAATCTCTGCTGTGTATCAGGACTTGTGTTAGGCACTGACGACTTGCCGTCCTCATCATCATGGACATCCCAGTAAAGGAAGATACCAAAAAACTGTAAAATTAATATACATACATAAGCAAGTAAAATACAAAAAAATATAAAGCTTATCATGATCTATGCTACAAAAGATATGTAATTTTCCAGTTGATGGAGGACTGAATACATTTAACTACTCTTTTTTTCTTCAGTCTCACTAAAGAACTCTTACTGGAATTAGAAAAAATAAAAATGTGTTGAACCCAAAGGACAAAATGGAATGGCAAAGGAGATGATAGCAATGACATTTAGGGAACTGGCTAGTAGGTGAACAAGTAATAACTGCCTTTGGTTAAAAAAAAAAAAAAAAAAAAAAAAAGGTTAATCAAATCCTGATCTCCCGATGGTGCAAAATGAAAAGCCACCTGCTTTACCTTGAAGATCCTTCAGAGGCTTGGGAATTACTCAAATTAAGCACCTCTAGAAGTGGGGGTGAAGATAGGAAGACACACAGAGAGATTTTTTGAAAGTCTGTCTAAAATGTAGTTAGTGTACCAGATCCCCTTGCCCCTCCTTACTGCTGGTGAGTCCTCCTACATCCCCACTCCAGGAGAAGACTGGAGGATTAGTCTCTGGAGAAGGGAGAAGAAAGGGTCTCAGGTGAGGACATGTATACTGTATTAGTCAGCCAAGGCTGCCATAACAAAATACCACACACTGGTATTCTTAAACAACAGAAATTTATTTTCTCACAGTTCCAGAAGCTGGAAGTCCATGATCAAGGTGCCTTCAGGGTTGATTTCTGGTGAGGGCTCTCTTCCTGTCTTGTAGATGACTGCCTTCTCCCTAGGAGCCCCTGTGGCCTTTCTTTTGTGCATGGGAGAAGAGAAAGTGATCTCTGATTTGTCTTCCTCTACTTATAAGGATACCAGTATTATTAGATTAAGGCCTCACCCTGATGACCTCATTTAACCTTAATTACCAATTTATAGTCTCCATCTCCAAATACACTTGCACTGGAGATGAGTATTTCAACATATGAATTTGGGAAAACCCACTTCAGTCCATAATATACACCATAGTGGAAACAAAAGGTTAAATATGTGTTTATCCACTTGTGCTCTAATTTAGCTGCCAGTACCCAGGCAGGAGACTGGACAAGTCTCTCTGTGACATGTGGGCAATCTGAAGAGACTGACATGATAGGGTTTCCCAGCACAATGGCCCAGTGGGATCACCTTTCAACAAACCCCACCATGTGCACAGAGGCAAAGGCACTCGTGTTTAATACACCCAGATTACAAAACTTTCAAGGAAAATCTGTTTTTAGTTTATAAACCACATGAATATGTTAACCTATTCAAAAAATTAAAAAAAAAAACTCAATCAAAGAATTGCAAGCAAGAAAGGAAGCTCTATTTCTTATTAGTTGTTGTTGAGTAATCATTACACTATACAAATTTCTGTTTTCTAAGGCTGTATTATAGAATCAGAATTTTGACTTCTAATTTAAGATAACATTGAGTACAAAGTGAAAATGTTCTCCCCTATGACAAGCACAGAGAAATGATAGGAAAAAACAATTAAATTAACAAATATGTATTAAGGCTGTATTATAGAATCAGAATTTTGACTTCTAATTTAAGATAACATTGAGTACAAAGTGAAAATATTCTCCCCTATGACAAGCACAGAGAAATGATAGGAAAAAACAATTAAATTAACAAATATGTAACACTAGTAAAAAAAATAAATAAAGATCTCCATAGACCAGAAATATTGCTATTTCTGAAGAGAGGAGCATTTGGAAGTCTGGAAGTGCAGTATTTGGGGGGCAGCACATGCAGCCAAGCTCAGTATGAAGGACCTGAGTCAGGGACTTTCATAAGAAGCCTCAGGCGCATCTGTGTAGCCCTGGATGCTTGGGTCTGGAAACCAGGGCTAGAATCTTTGAGCCAGGTCTGGTAAAGGCCAAAACTCCTGCCACACCAGTAGGTTCTCAGGAACCCAGAGCACCTGATCAGGCTGTCG